CAGTGTGCGAGATCGCGACTGGCCAGATGCCATGTTGCTCCTGAATACCCTGAGGTGGTCCTCCATCAACTCAACCATCCCTTCCTTGATCGACCCAAAGATAATGGGAGCCGACTCAAGGATACCCTTGGTGATCTCTGACGCGATGAACTCGGGTAGCCTATCATCCACTGGCTCGGAACCTGACCCCGAACCCTATCCTTCTCCTGAACTGCCAACTACTAGCCTCGATCGTAGTACCACCATTCTGCAATACATAAATAGCAACTAATAGCGATACTGATACCTCTTGAGGGACCACATCTATTACAAGTTCCTTAGTCTGATCTCGGCCTTCCTCGGTTTGGGTACGGATCCTCTACTTTCAGTAGTATGGGCCCATACTACCTTCTACATCTATCCGTACCTTCTTCCAGGACTACCTTGACTGCACCATATCCCTTTTTACCACTGTTGATCACTGTTATCCATATCCTAGGCTTACCCTAGGGAAAATCTCTGACTCCACTTAAACCAATCCTCAGCTGTTGAAGGCCTCCTTGTAATGCCAATTAGCCATAACCTAAATACCATCACATGTGACAAGGCTCAGATAATCCTTCGAGTAACAGACTCGTCCCTACAACGATTAGACTCAGACAAGAGCTACGCAATAGGGCCAAATCCAGCACTCTGAGATTATTCAACCTTGGCTACATGTGACATGACGTATTCACCTAATGGCTAACTCCCATTACTCAGAGTCCCACGAAGCATAAAGCAAGTAGAATTCGGATGCAGTTAAACTACTCAAGCAAGTCTGTTCTCATAGAGAAAAAATGTACAAGTATACAATGCTAAGCTCATACTATCAGGCATAACCTAAACAGGCTATCCTACTGCTGTCTACTCAGTACTAGCATGCAATTCACATAAGCTGAAGAACATAAACCAGACACATAAGGCATCACTCCTAGACCCTTAGTCCTATTCTAGCATCTTGTTCTACTGAAGCTGATAAACATAGCATAACATTGTATGGATACTTTGGGGAATACTTACTCGAGCTCAGCCAGTCGCGCACATCACACATTCCGTACTTTTCCCAAAACTCTTTAGTTTAACCTTTTGGAAAATCATTTTCTTAGAAAATTCTTTTATGCCCTCGATTTAAGTCCAGACACTCCCAAGGGTGTGTACGAATCCCTCAAACTAGGGCTCTGATACCAACTTGTAACGACCCAAATTCCACGTCCAAAAATTTCATTTTTAAATCAATACTTAGAAAACTTTTGTAAATAAAACATTGTCTGATCAAACCATTTCATAACATGCATCGTGTATGAAAACCGAAATGTGAAAACAATCACATATCAGAGTACAAAATCCCAGAATGACTCATGGTGCGGAAAACAATGTTCGTGTATGATGTGCCGCTACCGTGCCAGCTCCTTCCCCTTCGATGAAGAGGTACCTGAAAACAAAACTATAAACGGTAAGCACGAAGCTTAGTGAGTTCCCCCATCGTACCACATACCATACAATCACATAACATACAAATATTGTCAGGCATATATGGGTGCCCGACCTACCCCTTCGGTCCTTTCGACCAGATACTGCCTAACATATCTGGGTGCTGGCCTCCCCTTCGGTCCTTTCGACCGGATACTACCTTGCATATCTGGGTTTTGGCCTCCCCTTCGGTCCTTTCGACCGGATACCCAGGTACTATTTCACCCCTACTACTACCACATAATATCATATCATACATATCATAATCAGGCTAGCATGGCTGGGTACTAAACTACCGCTTCGGTCCTATCGACCGGTAACGGGGACTATTTCACCCCTACTACCACTATCACATAACATCATAACATAGTAGCACATAACATATCAAGTAGTAGCAAACCTAGATGATAATCACGAAGACAATCATCTAACATACAACTCCTACTGGTGGGCCGGCATTGTGGCCGTAGACCCACTTCTACAGGAAGGTAACTCACCTCGAAAAGTAGTTGCTGAAAGTCTGCTTCCTAGATGTTTGGCTGCTGTACCGGTAATCCTTCGGCTGTAAATCCATATACATAGTTTAGTCACTCATAAATACCCTTAGGTCAAATGAATGACCTACCCCTGGTCCAAGGTCAACTCATTGGTCAAAGTCAACTTCCAGTTGACTAGACTCGCCAAGTCATCACACAGACTCACTGAGTCCCTCTCCTACTATCCCAGTACTACCTCATCAAGTCCCTCTTTCCACTCACTGAATCACCCTTAACTCACTACTTGGGACGATTGGGCCGACTCTTGATCTGACTCACTGAGTCCGGGAACAACTCGCCGAGTCTCACGAGTATATCTCCTACTCGCTTCAAAATCCTCACCAGAGCATCCATCTTGAGGATTTGGGTTTCTAGGACTATTGCTACACGTTAAATTGCTAACTCCGCGTGCAGCCACGAAGGGTTGGACCTTCTACACTTAAACCCCTCTTAACTTAGTAACAGTTCATATGACTCGTCGAGTTTGAAGAACAACTCGTCGAGTTCCAGGCAATCTTCATAGGACTCATCGAGTTGTTCATCCAACTCATCGAGTCTAAGACCATCATCATAGAAATCACCGAGTCCACTTTGGAACTCGTCGATTCCCTTCAACCCTCCTCCCACAGACCAAATCTGAGACATGCAACGGTTCCAAACCATAGATCTAAGCTCCTAGGGCATGCTAATCACGTAAATTTTTAAACTTTACGGGCATGCATAGCCCTATGAGCTCCAAAAGGCAATTCCAAGCTCTTTATGAGGTCATACACTCAATAGGGACCTTAATCACTTCAACCACAGAGACTTTACACTTCTAAAATATCCATAAGGTCCAGATCCGAAGTCCTTTCAGAATATAGAGCATAAACACATGGGGTGTGGGGGTTTAGGGCTTGAAAACCACCAATTAGGGACAAAAGGGGGATCTAATGAACTAGTGATCAAGGTAGGTACTTTTCTACCTGAATGGAAGCTTCTCACAGTGTAGATTTAGGATCTATTCCCCTCCTTGCACTCTTCAACCTCCTCCTTCTTCTTCTAAGCTCCAAAATTCCTTCACAAAGCCAAAAATCACTCACAAGAACAATATGGGGGCTAGGGTTTCACTCTACAGCTCTCTCGATGTGTTAGGGACAAGGAAGGCCGAGTTAGAGTGTTTGAATAGGGTGCAAACACTCGGGTTAGGGATTTACTCGCCTAGCATGGACTCGCAGAGTATGGGACCCGACGCTGAGTCCCTTACTTAAATCCCGCCCCAAAACGCTCCTACTTGGTGAGTCGGGCCTCCAACTCGCTGATTCCAAGGCAGAATGAGAAAAATATAAAAATAGAAATCGTACCAGGAATGCAGTGCTACACTACACTCTATTGGCTACAATGATAAGTAATATTAGAATTAGAAAAAAAGACAGGAATGTATATTCAGCATGAAAAAAACACTAACCTGGTGAATGATTTATTTGGTGAAACTGTTGGTATCTTAGGATTGATAGTGGTAGTCTTAGACTCAACATCTTTTCTGGTGGGTTTTGTATTTTCCTAATATAAAGATTTAAGACATATATGTAAAATTATATTTTAATATAAAAGTTAAATTAAATATATGGAAAACTATAAAGTTAGTATATACTAGTGTTGCAGATTTCATGTTAAGCAATTGTGTATCGAGAGTTGCAGTTGTAGATTTGGATTGAACTGCTTTCTTGGTGGTTTTTGCAATTACCTAAATAAGTTAAATTCCCATGTCAAAAAACAAAAATTAGTACTAATGAAATATATAATAATGATGATCTTATAAGATGATAACATATTGGTGTTACAGGTTCTGATGGTTCCTTGGTCTTGAGACTAACAAGAGTTTTACAACTTTCAACAATCTTGTCACTTGAAATGCCCTTGCAAATATAAAGAAATAGGGAAAATGTATATAAGAAATGCAAATATCTATTGTCAGTGACTCCCGTGCCGACACCCTTTAAAAATCCACCCTTTTCCTTGCCAAAAACATAGGTCATGGTTTCCGTGCCTGGTTCAACATTTACTTGTCCTTCTTTTATTTGCATTTCAAGTTCCATCTAGTACACAAAATATTAATAATTATTGTCCTCATAAAACTTATTAAAATCTTTATAGTAATAGTAATAAAAAAGTTTAGTTAAGTTACTAGTTTATCCGCCATGAGTGTAACATCTTCATCCTTAAATTCTCCTTTACTTTCACATCCTTTACACCACATAATTAACCTTGGGAGCATTTCTTCCTTTGAAATCACTTTCTCTTCAATCTTGATAAAAAATTAAATTGTAAACAATATAAAGCAAAATCTTGTTAAGTATAATGCTATGAAGGTAATATAATAGGATCATATAGCTAAAGACCAAGCTTACCAACTTCCGCATAAGAGTAGTACACCCCCCCTCTACCCATCTAATTAGCATACTTTGACACCTTTCGCGCTTTGATAATCCTCTGTGACACAACCTATCAAAAAAAAAGATTTGTCAAAGACTTTTTGGTAAGTTTATGATAAATAAATGAATAAGTTTTGGAAAAAAAATTGTAACATTAAACTCTTCAGATTGCGTATATGTCACAAATTTGTTCTAATCATCTTTTTCAGTAATTAGTGCACGATAACAAATGGGGATTTTTGCAATCTTTTTGGGATTGGCTAGATGTGGCTTGATGTAATCTGCGTACAATTTCCTTCTGAAGTTCCATATAAGGATACCAAGCCTATTCATCACAAATTGTTTTCCAACTTCATCAACTTCAAAAAAGCACTAAAATGAAACAATAATGAATATGTTAGTGTTTAATATATGATTTGTAAATACAGTATGAGATGAAGTTAAAAAAAGTGAAAAAAAATATTTACTATAATCTCTTCCCAAAGTTTGTACTTCACTTCCAGTTTTACTTTCTTCCAGCAAAGAGCACTTAATCCCACCTTTTTGTGGACAAGAGATCCTAAATAACTAAAAACACCGCATTATTATTTCTTGTAAATTTACTGAATTCATCAAACTTGACACATTTTTTTCTACCACCAGAATTGACATACTCAGTCTTCAGCTTTGGCAATCGAATCATTCCCCTCTTCCTATTTAACCTTGTAGGAACTGTGTTTTGGAGTTGTTCATCTGAATCTGAATGGCTATTATAGTTAATGTTCTTTTTTTCACCATCTTCTGTGTCCCAATCATAAACTTGGGTTCCATCATCTTGCTCATAATCCATATCATAGTTGGGCATATCCTCATGTTGTTCCTTGTTCACCTCCATGATTCTTATGTTGACATGAAACATAGGAAATAAGTTTGATTATTTATATGTTTAATGAAAAGGTGTGAGTAACTTATATTACTGACAAATTTTCACAAATGCATTTCATCGAACACTTGGTGTGCAACAAGTACAGTAATATGAAGAATAATTTTTTTTTTGTTTTATATATAAATCCCTAATCAATACAATCAATAACATTGACACCATACACAAACACTATACTTATAGTAGAATGTGTGATTGTATGTTTGATTCTAGAGCTTCTTGGTATACGAAGTTGATAAGTTTCTAGACTTGTTGTTATTGTGAAGTATCATAAAATACTCCTATAGTATTTTAAACTTGATGTTTGGTTCTAGTATTCCTTTGTGTATAGAATTGGTAGTTGCAATACCACTATCACTCCCAAACACATGTTGGTCGTATCTCAAATAAATATAGTTGATCATGCTATATTTATCCAAGATATGATTACATAACTGTCTAAATTTGATTGTAGTGTCCAACATCTAAATACTTTTCTTTTGTTCTTCTTGTGATACTTGTTCTAGTGTGTGTGTGTGTGTGTGTGTGTGTCTATATATATATATATATATATATATATATATATATATATATATATATATATATATATATATATATATGTGCATGTATGTATACTTTTATAAAATACTGTTATAATTTAAAAATATTCTTTTAGTCAGAGCACTTCGGCCTTATTGTATTTATAGTTGTATATCTTTTATAGGTTGATATACTTAGTTCACTATAAATAATAATCTGATACCAATCTGTCACACCCCCAAAACGAAACGGCGGAAACGGGGGTGGGTGACGTCATGTACAATATCACGTCAATTGTATAATAATAATCAAAGCAACAACAGTCATTGTATTAATAACACAGTATTTACATTGGTTTCAAAACATTACTTGTTTAACATTAAAAATATAGTAAAAGATATGACGTAATTCTACTATGCTCCGTCTTCGTAACGCTTGAGAGGGTATCTGTCTATTATCTTTCCTGAGAATACAAGTGGTTTGAAAAATGTCAACATTTAAGTTGGTGAGTTCATAAGTATTTTGTTTGGAAAAGATGTGTTCTTTGTCACTGAAAACGTTAATATGTTTTTCCTGAAAATCCAATATTTTCTTAATAAATAAATCATAGTCTTAGTACTTTGAAACTAAAAAGTATAAGTTTATTATGTTTATAACCTGTGATTTGAGGTTCTAATTCATGTAATTGGTATGACCCTTACCGTTACCCCCTATGGTTACTTAATGTATACAAATTATGTATAATCAAAATCGAACGGATAGTCGATTGGGTGATTCTGTCCTAAGCCCACAACCAAACAAGGAACAGGAAGAAAAGCGGAAATCACACATTCGACTATCTATGGGATCTTTATTATAAATAATCATAATGTACATATTAAGAAATCATAGACTATAATAAAAAGAATACTCGATATATGTTTTCTGATCTTCTGTTCGTACCATATTAATAAATAATATTATGGTTTGCTTTTCGTATAATTGTATGTAAATCTAGAAATTTAGTACTTGCAGATAATGTAATATGGTTTTATTATTTATATAAAACCCCTGAAAGTATATTCTCTGAAATCCAAATGTAAGGTTAATAATCAATGAAAATTATTTGATAATACATTATTCATAAATATGTCGTTGTTTTCTCTATGTGAGTTCTTATAAGCATACTAACCCAGTCGGCCTGATCGCAACATTTTTCAAGCGTCGAAATATTAACGACATTTGTCACCCCAGACTTGCCGGCCTGACTGTAGCTAACATTCGAGATGTGGGACTATAGTCTCAAATAGATCTATACACAAATATCTAGCTCTCCCTACAAAAGACTGTGGTTATAAGTCAGGACTAGTACTTACATAAGTACACAAAAACATTTCATAAATTGCTTCAACGTTTTTACGAGTAATAACTAAAAACCCTTTTTGTTCATCTGTTATCTGAAAACCCTTTTTGTTTATACGTTAACTTTTACTTTGTAAAATAGATCATTTGTTCCATAAACTATATATATTATAGTTTATATGTTTGTTTCCGTGTTATAACCTGAATATTGTAAAATAGTATCTTTGTTCCTTAAACTATACATATTATAGTTTATAAGTTTGTTTCCGTATTGGTGTAAAAACCGCCGCATCTTAACATGTTTTGTAAATTCAATAGTAACGATATTTTTCGTATTTAGTAAATATTACATTTAATTTCTTATTAATGGTAATAAAACATAATCATAAATTTATATTTTCAAACACAAGATTTCTTGTGTTTTACTTGTATCCCCCCCTTTAAAACAATTTAAACATCGTAAAAACGTAGAGATATGAACCCACCTTGTGTTCGTTTTCTTGTTTAGATACGAAGTGGTTGCGAATGATCCTCAAGATAGAATACGTGATTAAAAGTGTATCCTATTAATATTCATACACATAATGTTGTTTTCAAATTAGTTAATCTAATAATAAAATGTTAACTAACACTTGTTTATATAAAATACTTACCAAAGTTTAAAAATCATTTGGAAGAAGAATGGTCTCCTGGAGTTTAAATTGGAAGGATGAAGGAAATTGGTTTAACATTTGAGAGAGAATTGAAAGTAATTTCGGTACTAGAGATATGAAAATGAAAGTGTTTTCTATTATGTAGCTTAAATATGAAGTAAAAGTATAGGCGGTGATGTTGGTGATTGAGATTAAATCATGTTAAAAAGTGTGTCAAAGTGATAAAATTTCGAGTCTTCGGCTGAGAACCCTACCCGAGAAAAGGAGTTTGCGGCTAATCTGTTTTCGATCAGAGTAGTGTTTGCGGTCCAAAGCTCAATGGACCTCCAACAATGAAATTGTTGTACTCATCAAGCGAAGAAACTCAGATTTGACATTTAATTTCACTAATTATTATTGGATCTTTTATGCTTTTTAGATGATATGTGGATAAACTACCCTATCTTGATAAGCTTTTAAGATTTTTCTATCATTAAGCTTAAGACTTTGACCAGTTCACAAACCTTCTGATTGCAATACAATTATGGTGAGTAGTGAGGAAAAGAGAAACATATGCATGCTAGTAAGCCTCTCAATATAGTTACTTGAAAAAGGTTTAATTGAGTTTATATAAGCCTTCAAAAATTTCTTCATGCTAAAGAGGGAACAATGTCATAGTTGAAGAACTTGAACTAGTCAGTAGATCACAAGTTTACATATTTGTATTAATATACTTTTTTTAAATATTGTGTATTGGTATATACTATATGCTAGAAAATGCAATGCCACATAAGTGACAAAACAAAAACATATTAAGATTAGACAATTGTTACGTTTGAGGAAAACCACAGACCAAAAGTGATATTATATAAAGAAAGGATTCATGAACAATGTTTTCACTTAAAGTATTACATGTTTAAGGTTCATAGATTGGGAGTTTTGAGTATTGCACAAGCACAACTAAATGTTGACATTATGTAAGTTAAGGTTACTTTGATTTCTGAACCTATTTGGAACACAAAATGATCAGCCAAATGAAGATCACATGGTATGTTAGGTTATTGTGTCTTTTTAACAAAGTCTATGTATATACTATATTTATTACTAAGATAGTTGAGCTTGCTGTATACAAATATAAGTGGAAGTACATTGATAAAACTTGTATTACATAATTATTTTTTATATCTGTTTGAATATATGTAAATATTACACGATATCTCACAAATATGAAAGAAATGAAAGTAGGATTCTTGCATTATACAAATAAGTATAAGTATGTTGATATGACTTGCATTTATCCCTTTTTGGGTCAAGCTTAAGAAATAACAATCTAATTTCATGGGGAAGAATCTATTAGGCGTTTTCTTATGTGGTATTCTATTTGATTCAATAGGCGTATTTACTTACTTTTAGAGTTAGATAGAATTTCATAAATGGATCTCTTTTGTATAAGTAGTGTATAATATTTTGGGACCCTGTTTGATATTACTTATGGTTATAAAATCATGGTTGTATTTTTTATATATTTTAAAGAAACTATGATGTAGCGGATTTGGTGGTTTTTAGGATCGGTTAAACCCATTGAACAATCAAAACGGGTAGATGACCACTTTTGTTTTTGAAGATTGCTTAAAAAACAATACAAGTTGCCAAAATGACCAAAGCTCAAGAAGAAATTTTATGGAACTTAAAACGAACCGGTAGTTCATAGAATGTTGGCACCGGAAGTTACATTGGTTCTTCAGAATTTGGAATTGCTACTGGAACCGTTTCGGTTCCGGTTACCTTATTTGTAAAAAATTTTGAACTTTTATATTTAAAACATTGCTATTAACACAATTGATCACGAGCATGTGTATAGTTTGCGTATATGATTTATAACATTTAATGAGATTAAAAAATATTAATATATCTTCCTCAATCACTTCTTGTATGAGATGTACATGATAAGATGTCAAAGACGTACATTGGCAATTCTAAACTTCCAATATTAAAAACATACAGTGGCATGTATAATGTTTGTTACAAGATGTAAAAAAAAAAAAAAAAACAACTATGTAAAGTTATGGATTTGTATGTAGTTTAGTTGTTTACTAATGACCACATAAGTTTTCTTTTCTTTATTTCATCTTTCATTGGCGTATATCATAAGGTCGGGTCTCTATGAAAATCAGAGTTACATTTTCATGCAAGGATTTTTCAAACCAGAAAATTTATACTGGACTGTTTTGGGCGACTATCTTATTATCCAAAATGATTCCTGCATACTTTATAAGAACTATGCAGACTTTATAAGAACTATAGAGATTAAAATTCCAAGTTGATGTTCTATTTCAGACCTAATGTGTGTAACAATCAAGATTACCAAGTTTGACGAATTTGACTTAGTTTTCCGAGTTTGTCCGATTTTGACCGAATTCTTTTGAGTTGACTGTTTTGGACCCGAGTTTGACCAAGTAA